CAGATCACCCGCCTGCTCAAGGCGAAGCGAGAATCCAACCAAGTTGCCTTAAAATTAGGTACCTATTATTACCGGCGTAGAGGTGCAGCACAAATGTAGACTAGTCCATGCCCAGCCACAAACCGTGGCTTTGCCAGAGTGACGTCCAGGTTGCCAGCTCAAGCCACACAGGAGGGGAGCCAACTGTGGGAGCTGACGACAACTCGCGCCTCATCCAGCTCCAAGCTCCAGTAACAGCGCGCAGCATTGCGCCGCATATTGGGGTCAACCACCCACGGCATCCATACAGAGTCCGGGATGCACAGGCACAGCTTGGAATAGAGGGGGGCCAGGAGGGGCAGTGTCGCACTCGTATTTGCGACCCAAAGCCCATTGCCATTGGAGTTGTCCTACGCGGGGCTATTCATTCCAAGTCCCCGGACAAGCTGCATCACCGTTGCCGCTACCCTTTAGCTACCTTACCTTGCCTTACGTCGCATAAACCTGACTTGACCTAACAGTGACAAACACCTCCAGCGAGCAATAAGAACCGTCTGCCTCCCTCCTGCCGACCTGTTGTCTATAAACATCCCTTCCTTTACGGTCAATATCTTGGCAACGAACCTCGTCTGTCCTGTATGCAATTCGGACGCTCGACAACCCTCGTCACCTCTGCCATAGTCCTCTTGACCACCATCTTCCTTACACACACCTACACGAACCTCTTTACACGCCTACATATCCCCCTTTTCAGATCAAACAACACAGACACGATGGGCGGCGGTCCAGTCCAAGGCTTCCGCTCGGTAGCCTACTTTGTCAACTGGTACGTCATCAGCAGTTCTCTTGAGGACTACCCTCAAAGCAAACGTAACTAACACCATCGCTTCCCAGGGCAATCTACGCCCGCAAGCACCGCCCCCAAGACCTCCCCGTCGAGAACCTCACCCACATCCTCTACGCCTTCGCCAACGTGCGCTCCGACACGGGCGAGGTCCACCTCACCGACGGCTGGGCCGACACGGACATCCACTGGGAGGGCGACAGCTGGAACGACGTCGGGACAAACCTCTACGGCTGCATGAAGCAGCTCAACCTCCTCAAGCGCCGCAACCGCAACCTCAAGATCCTCCTGTCCGTCGGCGGCTGGACATACTCGTCCAACTTCAAGGCCCCCGCCAGCACGCCCCAGGGCCGCGATACCTTTGCCCGCAGCTGCGTCGACCTCATCAAGAACCTGGGCTTTGATGGGTACGTTTACCAGTCCCACCCCGGGTATCCTACCCCCAACTGATTAAATCAACCTGCTAACAAACGTGACAGCATCGACATTGACTGGGAATACCCCCAATCCCCCTCCGAAGCCTCCGACTTCGTCGCCCTCCTCCAGGCCGTCCGCTCCGCCATGGACAACTACGCCTCGACCCTGCCAGAGTGGTACCACTTCGAGCTGACAGTCGCCTGCCCCGCCGGCGCCCAAAACTACCAAAAGCTCAACCTCCCTGCCATGGACCCCCTCCTCGACTTCTGGAACCTCATGGCCTACGACTACGCCGGCTCGTGGGACACCACCGCCGGCCACCAGGCTAACCTCCAGCCCTGCCGGCAGAACCCGCGCTCGACGCCGTTCAGCACCGCCGCGGCGCTGGCGCACTACACCTCCCACGGTGTGTCCCCAGACAAGATTGTGCTAGGGATGCCGCTGTACGGCCGCGCGTTTGAGAATACTGATGGTCCTGGCACGCCGTATTCTGGGGTCGGGGAGGGGAGCTGGGAGAATGGCGTCTTTGATTACAAGGTGTTGCCGATGCCGGGCGCGCAGGAGTATCATGACGAGGAGACGGGTGCGAGTTACTCGTATGATGCGGGGAGGAGGAAGATGGTCACGTATGATACGGTGCACATGGCGAGGAAGAAGGCTGAGTATATTCGGGGATGGGGTCTGGGTGGTGCCATGTGGTGGGAGAGCAGTGCTGATAAGCCTGGGCACGAGTCGTTGATTGGGAATGTGGTTCATACGTTTGGTGGTCCGCATGGGTTGCTGCGGCGGGATAACTGTCTGACGTATCCCGAGACCAAGTATGACAATTTACGGAACGGGTTCGCAGGTTGAGGTGTAGGTTAGGTAGACCAAGTCACCAAAGAACCAAAGTTGTGGGAGCCAATATACACAGGTCACGTAACGTCACAAGTCATGATGGAGAGTAAAGAGTGAGAGATGGTCATAGTGTCATGAAATTGCATCGTCATTGCCAGCCAGTGATGTGTACATCAACGCCCCCGTTTTGTGTGCGGCTTTCTGCCGACTAGAATGCTAACCCTGAACCGATCCTCCCAGAATTGTCGCTTTTTGTTTTCCGTAACCTCGCGCCCGCGAAACAAGAGAGAAAATTTACTCCTTCTTGTCGAAGACGTAGGTGAGGTGGCAGCGGCCGCAGTACTGGCGGTCGTTCATGGCGGCCATGAAAACACCGGCACCGCACTTGAGGGAGTCAGTATTGAAACGAGAGTATGATACATCAGAGGGAAACATACGGTGTCGGAGGGGCACTCGCGGCGAAGGCGCTCGATCTTGCCGTCAGAGTCGACCTTGTAGTACTTGAGGACAGCCAACTTGGTCTTCTTGCGCTTGTGCTTGATCTTCTTGGGGGTGGTGTAGACCTTCTTCTTGCGCTTCTTGGCCATACCACCACGCAGGCGCAGGACCAGGTGGAGAGTGGACTCCTTCTGAATGTTGTAGTCGGAGAGAGTGCGGCCGTCCTCGAGCTGCTTTCCGGCGAAGATCAGGCGCTGCTGGTCGGGGGGGATGCCCTCCTTGTCCTGGATCTTGGACTTGACATTGTCGATAGTGTCGGACGACTCCACCTCAAGGGTGATAGTCTTGCCCGTCAGGGTCTTGACGAAGATCTGCATGATTGCCTACTTGTCACGGAATGTTAGAATCAAATGCTTCGAAGTTTGGGTGGATAGCAAAGATTGCTGTCCGTCTCCCTCGATGCTCCTCTTCTTTGCCCCTTGTTTCCGGCAGCGTTGCATGTCGATGGCTTTGGTGGGTGGCGGCAGCGATTGAGCATTCGGCGAAGCGATTTTACAGGCTCGACGAGCTCGCTCGCATGCCGTTGAACCCTGCCAAAAGACTCTGACCCCTTCCAGTGCGCCCCCTCGATAACTCTCGAAAGACGCTGTCGATTTCGCGATTACGCCTTGCGAGAGTCGAGTGGCAGGCGACAGCGGAAAGAGAGTCCACAACTCGTCGAAAGACGAAATGCCAGAAAACAAAGGGAGAAGAAGAGGTGTAACGGGCTCATGGCCAACAAAGAGGGAGCAGAAGCATCTTCAGACGTACCTCGACAATATGTCTATTGCCTTCCTAAGCAGATCCTCAGATGGGTTCGAGTTGGGGATGAGGGAAAATTAAAAGGAAACGACTGCCGTCTGTCGCAGCGCACGGTAAATCCGTCCTGCGCAGGCGCTGGGTGGACCGGGTGGGGGGGTTTGCGAGACCTGGAAAACTAGCGAGACCACGTGATCCTGCTGGTCTACGATTGGCCAACCATAGAGTCTGGAAATCGAATGTGTGGTGCGAAATACGATACGTACTGCAGCCCTGAGGCGACTTGCCCGCGTAAAGTGCATCCTCGCCTAAAATTCCAGAGTGGGATTTTTCCAGAGGTGGGTCCACGAGCACCATTTTTCCGTACCGCACTCTCCAGCCCTGGACCAGCCCTCACTCGTACGCAGCCTCCACCCACCACCACTTCGCAGCAAGGCACGTCAAAACCATTTCGCGCCCTGGTCGAACCCACCAATTGCGATTTTTTGACTCAGCAAGCCAGAAAAGATCAAGTACGTCTCCTCGCAATTGATATACCCCTTCTCCTCTTCTCTTTTTTCTCTCCTTCACGGACCTACTAACACACAGTCAGACGTCGCCAAAATGGTCAAGAAGAGAAAGAACAAGTACGAAGATTCCCTCCTCATCCGCCCCATACACCGCGCTTCCCACGTGCCTCTACCCTCACGTCCCGGCTGTCGACAACGGGTCCCGATATCATGAACCTGCTCGACGACGCCGGCGACTGAGGCTCCAGATGGACACATGCGCAATGATACTCCTAAACGAACACGATTACTGACTTGGTTTCCCCTCCTACAGCGGACGCAACAAGAAGGGCCGCGGCCACGTCAAGCCCATCCGCTGCAGCAACTGCTCGCGATGCACGCCCAAGGATAAGGCGATCAAGCGCTTCACCATCCGCAACATGGTCGAGTCTGCTGCCATCCGTATGCTCACACCCTCTTCCCAATATGTCTCCAAGACTAACAAATATCAGGTGATATCTCTGACGCCTCCGTCTTCGCGGAGTACACCGTACCCAAGATGTACCTGAAGCTGCAGTACTGTGTCTCTTGCGCCATTCACGGCAAGATTGTCCGGTACGTTCGTCCGCGGGAGCGACGACTGCAACCCGTCGGTCTGGTTCACACCACGACCGCGGCGCGCAGGCGCTACAGAAGAACCTTGGCGCTACTCGAAGCTCCCATATCCCCCGTGCCCTGCACCTCGGCGACGCGGTCCTTCCCCTCTTGCGGGAGGTCGATTGCCCACCTGAAGGTTGCTTTTGGGCCTTGTGAAAGACCCCCCAATGCTGACTTACTTTGCCAGTGTCCGTTCCGTCGTGGGCCGCCGCAACCGCGCTCCCCCTCCCCGCGTCCGCTACAACAAGGATGGCAAGAAGATCGTCCCCAACACCCCCAAGGCCTAAAGAGTTGTTTCTCTACTCGGGTACTCGGTGTTTCAGGTGTTTGCAATGACGAGCAGTGGATGAAAAAGTTCTCCTTTCAGGCATGGTTTGGGAACCGGATTGGGCTTTATGATGATGTTCATCTATGGGAATCGGGCCATGGCCCTAGGCTAGCAAAGGAAATGCTTCATGATACTGTTCTCTCGCTCCCTGCAATACGTGCCATATGTCTTGTTCGTCGTGTTTGTTCTACCTGTTGAAACTCGAGTCAACTACCTACTCTCTGGTAAGCTCGAAGCCGACAAATCTCATATCGCTCCCCCACCAGCTGGGCCTCTCAATTCCCCGAGTCCCAATCTGCTCAGACACGACCGTGTTCAACTTCCACTTACTCCCAGTCTGCTCCGACAACTCAGCCCACATCTTCTCCCACGTCTCCAAGTTGTGCCTCAACGCAGGCTTATCCCAAACTCCCTTCAACTCAATCCCATCCGCATGACCCGCAGCGTGACCCACAATCATCACCCCAGGCTCCTGCTTCAACAATCGAATCACCCGCCGCAGCACAACCATCTGCTGCTCCCGCGTCCACAGATGCAGACAAAGACCCAGGTGCGCGGTGTCAAACGTCCCCTCCATGGCGTTCAGCCTCGCGTCCCCGTCGTCCAGCATGTCTGCGTTGACGAAGCGCGTCTCGAGACGGTCCCGGTCGCGGAAGAGCTCGTACCCGGCGTCGATGTACCCTTGCTCCAGCTCGACGGCGACGATCTTGGACGAGGCGACGCCGTCGTGGACGAGGCGCCGGAGGTCCTGGCCGACGCAGCAGGCGATGTCGAGGTGGCGCGCGGATGGGTTGTCTTGGAGGCGGGCGAGGAGTTGCGGGTAGCCTGGGCGGTGGGCGAGGTTGAAGTCGAGGAAGTGGAATTCGCCGATGCAGGGGTAGGGGAAGACTTCCCAGATCTTGTCGCGCTGTGGATGGCATTATGTTAGCATCAAGCCATATCCCAGCTTGTCTTGTGCTGGGATGGAGTAGTCGAGGGGTATAAACAAGCGAAAGGGAGAGGAAAGGGAACATGTACCATGGCGACGACGTGGTCTCTGACCTCGTCTGGCGGGATGCCGGCGTACTCCTCGAGCATCTTGCGTGCCTCGGCGGAGATTTGGGCCTCGACGGAATACCATGGAGCCGCCTTGCTCCTGTCTCCCACGACGATTTGGCTGTTTGCGACTTGCATTTCGTTCATATCTTGGGCAGAATAGTGTAGTAATCAAGAGATATTGCTTCAACACCTGACCTCAATCTCCATTTCCACCTCGCGTCAGACAGCCCCTTTTAAAGAGCACAGCTTAACATCCCGACGGCATGCTCGCAACTCAAAATATCCTGCAATTACTCACCTCAAAAATCAAACTCGCCGAATTCGGCTCCGTCAAGCTTCAACATTGGGACGACGGTAGTCGATGCCAGTTTATTGCCGCGGTTTACCGGCGCACCCGGATCGTGCTGCGCCTCTGCGAACTGGTGAACTTTGCTTTGCCCCCTCCCTCCCGGTCGTCTGATGTCCTGGCTTTTATACTCGCCGCTCTCACCTCGATTTCACATGGAAGGAGTTTCTCGCTAAGTTCCTGAGAAGAGAATAGAAGTGATGAGATATTTCAAACTACCGAGCTTTCTATGCAAGGGCTTGATCGACGGCGACTTCGGCTTGTGGTCTTAACACCGTCTAACCTACGCCCCCCCCCCCCCCTTTGAACTCCGTCCAATAAGATTGCCGTCCACGTCACCGGTCACCATGCCACCGGTAACTTGACTACCCCGACATCCTTGTGCAGGGGCGTATACTCGATATCCGGGAGGGGCACGGCGATTCTCAGGCTGGGGAGCTTCTGGAAGAGCGTTGCTGTGATGGGATTGGTTAGCTCAGTGTGACTGGAGGAGGCCCATGGAAGAGGGCGAACGTGGGGAACGACGCGTAAACGTAAGGTTTTGCTTCTATGCACCAAGCTCAAGTCACATGTACGGCCAACATGACCTCTAGGATATGAATGGCAATCATAAGAGAAAAGAGAGGCTCACCAAAGACAGTCTCGAGCTCTGCGCGCGCAAGCGGCTCGGCGATACACCTGTGCGGCCCGAAGCCGAACCCCAGCGCGTGGTTCGGGTCAGGGGTCCGGTGCATGTCAAAGACGTCCGGGTCGGGGAAGACGTCTTCGTCTCGGTTGCCGGATTGGTTTGCGGCGATGATGCCCTCACCCGCCTTGATGGTCTACGTCAACGGTCAGCATGTCCGGACCAGGGCGCTTCACAAAAAACCACATGCACAAGTGAAGAGATTGACCGAGGTTATTGTGGTTAGTAGATAGCACGTACCTTGCCACCGAGGATAACGTCTTCCTTGGCCACCCGCTTCATCGCCATGGAGGAGCCGGTGTGGTATCTGCACAGCTCTTCGACAAAGGCCGGGGCGAGCGACGGGTCGGCTTTGAGTTGGGCGAGCTGACCTGGGTTCCGGAAGAGTTCGATGACGCCCTGGGGTGCCGGATGTTAGTTGAATCGTGGACCCCAAACACGCGGTCCGTCTGCTCCAAGGATAAAGACACTCAAGAGTCAAGACGGGAAGACGGCAAGACACAGGTGACTCACCAACGCAATCATATTCACCATCGTCGCGTTGCCAGCAACGAGCAGCAAGAAGGCAATTTGCACGGCGTCCGATTTTTCAATGTGACCGGGTCTGAGCTGCTCCACGACCAACTTGCTAATGAGGTCGTCCTTGGGCTCAATGTTGCGTTGGTCGACTAGCTTTGCGAGGTAGTTGAGAAGTTCTCTGGTCGATTTGTGTCAGTCATCATCGGTAACGAGGCGCGAGAGTAGGGAAATGGGGCGGCGGGGACATGTAAAGTTGGACGTACTGGTTTGCAGACTGAGCTTGCGATGCGGTACCGCTGCCATTCGTGCGGATGGCATTCTGCTGGGTGAGATATTCGAGGTCCTCGAACGGGACGCCGAGGATGGTGTAAATAATCTTAGAAAGGGTAGTTAGCAGGGCCTCAAGGTAGCTGCATCAACATGTCCGTTTTGGATACTCTCATCTCACTGCTCTTGGGTGTAAACCAAAGCACTTACATATGACGGAACAGGCAAGGCAAACTTGTCAATTAAGTCAACCGGCTCGTCGCACCCCTGCTCAACCATTTTATCTAGTAGACTATCCACAGTCTTTTGGATATACGGGTTCATGGACGCGATGTGCTCCCGCACGAAAAGCGGCTCAACCATGCCGCGCTGCTGCATATGCGCCGGCGCGTCCATGTCGACAAAGGTGGGCTTGTTCGCGGCCGCCGCTTTCCCGCCGGCGCTGAGCTCGGGGAATCCGGCGCGGGTGCGTTCCTGTGTTGTGGTGTTAGCTCACTTGGACATACTTGATACCCCCGTTGACGTGTGAAAAAGGGGTAGTGGAAGGACGAAGGGCTATATAGGATGGAGAGATGGCACCTTGGAGAGACGCGTATCCGTGGCGACGGCGCAGACGTCTTTGTATTTCGTCACGAGCCATGCGAGGGAGCCGTCAAAGAGCTTCACTTGCGAGACGGGCTCCGTGGCGCGGAGGCGGGCGTACTCTGCGGGCGGTTCGAGGCCCGAGGCGCGTTGGAAGGGGAAACTCGGGGGCGTAGTTGTCGTCATTGTTTTCTGGGTGTGGAGGAGGCGGCGTGAAGAGAGTCGCTGGAGCTTGATCGCTGTTGAAGATAGACGAGGCAAGGAGGTCGAGAACATTGAGTCGTCAAGGTAATTCTGTCTGTGTGTAGAACACGAGGAGTTCTCTAGGGAGCCGGTGCCCTTTTGTATTTATATCTGCGTTCTTGACGGTGTTTGACGGGTCCCATTTTGTTGATTCATTCAATTCCAAATTCTACTTCTTGGGTGTATTCCTTGTTTCTGTCTTTCGTCCCCAGTTGAGTGGTAGGCAATTACGCCCTTCATCCATCCCGACCCTCTCCATCAGAGTCGTGGACGACGAGCAGTGTGGTCTGATCGTGAGCGACACTTCCCGACGTCAGCCCAAGGCGTGTAATACGGACAACCCGGTTGGTCGACGTATTACAGGGGGGAGGGGGTGAAGAGCATGGTGTTGCATGTCAGGTCTACATTGATGTCAACGTCACAACGTGCGCGTAAAACAAACATGGCTTGCAAGGATTCGGAAACAGGCTTCCATAAGGCGAGTCAGGCGGATAGGCAGGTAGGCGGGCAAGCGGGCGGGAGGCTTAGTGGTTGAGAGCGCCGCGGGGGACGGGGTGGTCCGCGGAGTTGTCGAATTTTCGGAACCTCAGCCCCACCACCGCAGCCCCGCCGAGACCCGGAATCATCGGGCGTTGTGGGGCCAGATTCTCCGGCTGGCTAGTCATGAGGACTACCGTATTAGGAAAAAACTCGGACGTCTGAGAGTACCGAGCTGCGAGTTTTGTCAACCAATTGTTTTTTTTTTTTTTTTTTTTTTTTTCTTTTTTGGATATCCGCGGATGGTGTTCATTTTCTGAAGTTCCCTTCCTACCGCGATGGTCAAGCCCACCGTGTGTTGAGTCAGAGGAAGAGAGGGGCTGGATGAGGGTTCTTTTGCGATGAACTCTGTGCAAGCCTTTTTTTGGTTTTGCCTGGGTTGGCACTTCGGTGACCATCCCGCCGGCTCTTGAGGATGGGGCCCATACATTGGAAGTCAAACTCTGTTGGCAGGGCTGACAATCTCCTTGAACTACCTACGGATACTCGATGACGACAGATGGAACCGGGGTATGCGATCAGCTTCAATCTGTGACTACGTCCAGCCCTAAGCACAACCCAACCAATTCACCTCATACACATATGTCAGCAGCCACTTTTCGTTCCTCTCCCCAGTAGCCTTTCTGGACTTCAAGGGCCAGAAACCAGAACCGTTCCTGTCAGAAACACACACGTCTCCCGCGAAGCAGGAAAGACGACACGCCAAGGGCCAAAGTCTCCAGTAGTATCTACCTTATTTTCTTCCACCCCTTTCTTATTCTCCTCTCTACCCCCTTTTCCCTTTCCTTTCTCTGCTCTTTTCCTCTCGTTGTGTTCTTTTTCTTTTCTTTGCCCAACTTATCACAGCCCTTGTGAAGCATCAACTCATCAAAACAAGCCACGAGGCGGAACTCCTGGTCCTCAGCCGTCGTCAAGCCACTTTGCACTCACTTTTGCGGCTCAAACTCGCAGATGGAAAACAAAGGTACACGGGGGACTGGGAAGCCCGAGTCCGACGACACCGTCTCGGCTGGCTACATCAGACGCACCGTATCAACAACAGCAATCGTCAAAGTCTCTCGATCCCAAGCGGAGGCCCGTAAGTACAACACGGAACTGCACAAATAGCAAGGGAGAAGACCCTGTGAAGCCCGGTCTCACCATACAATCGCACTGCCCCGCCCCGCCCCGGCTAACGGAACGGACTCGGCGAGCCAGCAAATGAGCCCCACCCAGAAGGATATGTCAAATTAGGCAAAAATCAAAAAAATTCCAGCACATCCATCCAAAAGGGAGCTGGAGAAAGCGTTGCAACATGATGCATCGTGGCCAAGGGTATCTCCCGCGAAGGAGTTCTGACGAGAATGGCGACGGGAGGGGGATATTATAGCTAAATAGCAAGTAAAACCTGTATCATCTCTGAGATGCCTTGCCAACAATCATATCCAGACCGTGTGCTGTACGCTGAGCCGCGGCGTAGAATCCTTAGATCCCAGATGAATACATATATAGACTCAAAGTCCAAGATATACCTTCATCGTTCAGCAGAAGAATGCGACCCGGACACCGCCCCCGTCCCATGTAGAGACTACGAAACGGACCGGCCTCATCAACGCCCTCTCCAGCTCTTCTTCTTACATCCAGAAAAGGAGTCAATCATATTCTCCATCAGCAACGCCGGCCACTCCGGCAACGGCGCCTCAGTCTCCCAAAACAGCTGCTCGTGCCGCAGCCACCCCTCGTTCCACTGCGCCGACGTCCACATTTTATTGGCGCGCACGACCTTCTCAGCATCCCACGGCTCGCCGGCGTCAAAATTACACCGCACCACGGACCCGCTGCTGCCTCGCGCGATATCCCTCATCGCCTCGGGGAAGCCCTCGTAAAAGTACCCCAGGTACGACTCGTACATCCCGGAGACGGGATGCACGCCCGCCCTGGCCGCGTCCTCGCCCCGCCTCTCGAACCAGTCCAGCACCGGGTGGACGAGCACGAGGCGCCGGTCCATGGACTCGGTCCACGCCCGCTGCCACGCGGCGTCGCGCTGCACGACGGTCTGGAAGATGCGCGCGCACAGCTGCGGCGCCGGGTCGCCGTCCAGGACCAGGGAGAAGGACGCCGCGGGCATGCCCGCTGGCCCGAGAGCCAAGGCCTCCGTGACCCAGAGCGCGACGGTGGACGTGATGTCCCGCGACCGGAGCGCCCGCGTGGCGGCACGATTCTGGCGTTCGCACTGCTGGTGGGGCGTGTGCCATCTCTTGTCGACCTGGAAGAGGTTCCGCCACAGGTTCACGCGACGTTCGACCCGCAGGAGGGGGTTCTCCCGGCAGAAAGGGATCAGGCCTCGGGCGTGGCTCTCCGGATGCGCGACGGAGCGGTAGTCTTCCACGAGGACAATCTTGCGCACCTGCGCGCGCATGGCGGCGGGGATGGACTTGAGATAGCGGATGGCCGAAGCGGCGGCCGAGAAGCGGTAGACTGAGCCGTCGGATCCGTGGCGGATGGATGAGAGCAGGCGCTTCTCCTCGGTGATCCACGACGATAGCTCCTTCAGGTCGGCGGCCTTAGGGATATCCCACTCCCTGACCGAGCAGCGCATGATGCGGCTCGAGCGGGTTTCCCCACCCGCCAAGCGATTTTCCGAGATGTTCATGAGCCGGCACCATTCGAGTTGATTCCAGTCGTTCGGTTTCAGACGAGACGCGGCTTGAAGGAGGTCGCAGCAGAGCTCGAGGTATGAAGATGGTGCCTCACCATAGGGACCACGGCGAAAATGCGTGAAGCCCCAGGCTCTCCATGGTGTCAAGTCCTCATGATCCATTCGCTCCAGGACTCGAAGGAAGCGAGGGTGCTTCTTGGCCAGCTCGTCCAAGGTAAGTTGAGCTGTGGCCCATGACGGCTCGCCAGATGGGGACGACCCTGAGGACGAGACCCCGTCCGGGTCTTCAGTACTAGGAGGGTCGACGTGTACTTTGCTTGCAGCGGCCAAGTCGCTGCTGGAGCCGTCACTGTCGTTCTCCTCATGGTCGTGATTGCCCTCTTCTGACGTAGTTGTCCGCGCCTGTTGCTCTTCGAACCTCCGCCTCGCCAGGAAGCCTCCGGCAAAATGTAACAGTTGCTGCCTGTATCTGTCGAGGCAACGCCCAACCAGGCCGTCGAACCGAGCAGCGCGCATGCGCAAACCTTCAAGCATGGCTAAAGGGGACGGTCCAGATTCCGACGTAATGGTGGAGAACGTGAGGGTGTTGCTCCGCAAGGCTAGGTGGCGCATCTCGTTGGCGACGAGTCGACAGGCGTACATCAGGTTGAGATCGATGGGTCGCCCGTCGGCCCTCTTGAGCCTGCCACCGAGGAGATCGTCTGATTCATAGATGTATCCCCCCTCGACGATGATGTAGTGCTCATATATGAGGTCGCGGACTTCGCGCGGGATGGAGAGCAGTCGCGAGTCGGACCGCAATCCGCCGTGCGCGTGGTTCGGGATGTCCATCTCGTCATGTGTCGCCCTTGTCTCGCGACACCGGATTTCGCTTTCCGTCCCGTCGACTCGACGAAGACTCTGTGACAGAAGGACGCCTGGAGTAGCTGAAGCGAGTTGGGCAATTGTGGTGGGCGTGTATGTGTGGGTTGGTGATTAGCTGAGACGTGTTGACGAAAGCGAGGAAGGGAAGCTAAGAGTAGAGGTGAGGTACCTTGGGTTGGGGGGGCACATGGAAACTCACCGCAATTTATAGCGCACTTCGCGCTACTTGTTATAGGTACCTTAGTGGACCGCAGGTGCCATGGGCACTCATTTCGGTCATTTTGCGCACCTTGCGGGCTTCCATCAGCGCCACTTCCTCTGAGTCACAGGCTGGAACCAACCTACCTAAGTAAGTACCTTGTTACACACTCCATCCACTCTTCCACCTCACTGCACATTCGCAATTGCTCGACACATTTTTTTTTTTTTTTTTTTTTTAGAAAAACCTTTATTAGGAAGAAAAAACTAAAAAAAGACGGTCTGCTGTGGTGATAGCAGTGATTTCTGAGTACCTTGTTATCGAAGAAAGTTAATTCTTTCTGAGTCACAAGTACAAGAATACAGTTTTAATAAAACAGTGTAGTGCCCACCCAGCACTTGAATTGAGATGCTTTTTCAAGCTTGCCATGAGAGAAAGATGACTGTACTGCTGACTGCCTGCCATCGAGGTCCGCAAGTGGCTTACGCATTATTAGCGGGCATGTCTCTTCTGATCGTGCAGTGGGCGGGGGAGTTGACGGGAGGGAGGGCAAAAGCTGGTGTCAGACTTACCGCTGTGGCTTCAATCGCTGTGGCTTCAACCGTGATGGCTTCGCCCGTGATGGGCGAAAAGTCTGGTTATGAGTCCCTTGAAAGCCTCTCATCAAGAGCTATAAGAGCCTCCGAGTCTGTAAGTAGATTGTCAGTACTCCGATAGCTGTCTGGGGCTCAATGAGAAGACGTACATACTGAGTTGAAATGCTTGCCAAGATACCAACAACCAAACCAACCCCACGATGACGACCTTGACAAAAGACCTGAAGAAAAACGCCAGAATCCTCGCCGTCTATGTGAAAGAGATCGCGTCAGCAAAGTCAGAGAGTCGAGGTAGGCAGCGGAAACTCACCGTTGGGCACGATCCACGAAGCGTAGCAACGCGGCCGCAGAGCATCGCCAACATGTCCCACGCCAAGAAGGGCATCATCAGCACCAACGAGACGGACAGGGCCGTGTCTGTAGGTGGTAGAAGAGAAAACCAGTTAGTGCGCGTTCTCCTGGGACGTTGGATGTTCTGCCGCTGCACGACGGGGAGGGGAATTGCCTACCGATATGGCGCCTCGGCTTCCTCCTACAGCTCGAGGATAATCGCCTTAGACAGCATTGGAAGTCCATCAGAAAGCTCTCTCGAGTGCTCCGGCACATCCACCGCCATCTCCGCGATGGCAAGACTCCCGGCGCCCACGCACAAGAGTGGGTTGCCTACCTCCAGACACTGCCAGACACGGGAGATCAGAAACGGGCGGGAAGAGGGGCGAAGATGATGGTCACAAGAGAGAATTGTCACTTACGTAACACCAGCCTACCAACAAGCTGTCGAAACTGCGATTCTGGCGATCCCTTGACGAGGGAGAGGGTGGAATGGAGGAAAGGATGGGAGACTTGTCTCGAAATCTCAGCGTCAGCGTCGGTCTTCCAAGGTATTGTACGACAAAAATGACTTACGAAAAGGGTTGAGGTTGAACAGTGCGGAATTCGAGGGCAGGGTAGCGTCTACATGTACTGCGGCAATCCTCTAGTAATGCAAAACGATGGAGTTAAACAGTGTGTGTGTGTGTGTGTGTATGTGTGTGTGTGTGTGAAGAAGAGCAAACGAGACCGGGGTCTCAGAAGTCCCCCTGATGAGCATGCACCATATCCTTGAAAGATGCAAAGTCTGCATGGTTCGAAGTCCATGTGAACTGTTGGATGCCGAAATGGTTGATGGCCCAGCGGGACGCTTGGGCGGCGCCCTCAGTAAGCAGACCCTCCAGGGTACACATGCCATTGCGGGTTCGCTTGCCGCCCCTGAGGTCCTTGAGAGGGAGTTGCGATCTTTGCTCTTGAAGGTCTGGGCATGCGTAGAACAAGTGGCCGACGGTTTGTTCACCTGTGCGACAGGGACACATCTTGGTCACGACGTCGGGGCACTGCGAAACGTGTCAAACCAAATGGCAATCAGGTTGTGTTTTTTTTTCTGCTGAATGCAGACAGAGTTCGGGAACATCGTACCTTTCTCCAAGATAAGTATGAATTGAGTCCAATGTGCCCGGTGCGGCACTGGATCAAGATGCTGCTCTGGGCATGGGTGAGGTCCTTGTGGATCTTGAGACTCTCCTTGCCCCATTTCCCCTTGACCGCGACCGGAGTGCGATTGAAGTCTGAGCGAGATTTTGACATCTGGCGTTGCTCGCAATAGTCTCGCCAGAGCTCTGCACAAAATAGGTTGGATTGACGCTGGACATATTTCCCAATGGCGATTTTCCGGTGCATGATGTCAAGTCTACTCCACTCGGGGCGCTCGAGGTTCCTGGTCCTTGTCGTATGATCATATTCGGTCCCTACTTCGCTGGCCACGGCTCTGGCATAGTAGTATGCGACTCTGTAAGGTTGTTTGTCAAACTTGTCAGACCTGTGTCTGGAATAGAAGCGGTTATGCAAGCTCTCCATCAAGCCCGGGTCGTCTCCATCGAGTGCACGGGCACGTTGACACGTCGCGAGTCTTAGGAGATGAACCGTGATGGGCTCAATATTCAACTCCTTCTGGAGAACAGCGCCAGGTGTTGAACCGAAGGCCCCAGCTAGCATCCGAAGACATTGTGCCTGCAGTGAATGAAGCCGGTCGACGAGAGCTTGCGTGAGATGATACTTCATCATGTGGTTGTCGCCAAAGAGGAACCATGCCGCACAGCCATAGGAGATGATCGACCTGACGCTAGTGAGATATATCTTCCTCATCTGATGAAATCCTGGTCCCCACGTTGACTGGTGCAGGCCGCGCAGCGAGTTCATCTTCGTCTCAACCTTGCGCTCAATCTGGTGGTGCCATGCGTTAGCTGGCTGCCTCTGTGTGATGGTTCGTTGTGGCAATTGAGTGAGTGGCATGGTGAGAAACTTACGCTATCAATATGATCGGCCCACGTCAGTTTGTGATCCACCTGAATACCCAGTATTCGAAGACCGCCAAGTTCCTCCTCCTCCTCATCATCATCGTCGTCGTTTCTAAGCGCTGGGTCTTGTCGCTTCGCTGGGTCCTGTCGCTTCTTCCTCAGAACCGCCCTCTTCTTTCTCTTTGTCAACCTTTCCTTGACCAGGCTGTTCTTGGCCAAGTTGGGAATGTTGGGAACCCCCTCGTACGGCTCACCTCGATCACCAGGCTTTCGAAAGTGCATGACACTGTACTTGGCTGGAGAAAAGTTGATACCGCGCGGTGCGGCCCACTCCAGAACTCGCTGATGCCACTTCTCGATGAGCTCGCAATTTCTCGCATAGTCCTTTGAAGTAACAACGATGTACGTATCATCGACGTATGAAAGTGCAAAGACACGGTCTTCCTTGGGGTTTTCCTCGTCAAACATCTCGATGATCCGCGCAGCAAAGAAGGTAAAGAGAATAGGCGATAGTGGGCTTCCCTGAGGAATACCAATGTCAACGTAAAACTCCATCGAAATATAGCCCGGCATTCGGAGCCTGGTTTTTCGATCGGAGAAGAACGATGTGATCAGAGCCAACAACCACTCGGGAATCCCCATGGCGCGCATGATGATGATCAATTCTTCACAACTGACATGGTCGTAGGCTCCTGTAATATCAAGCCCTAAGAGAGTCGTCTTCAACGCAGCAAGCCACCCGTCCATCACCGCATTGGCAATGAACTCAACGGCCTTGGAAGTGCCTTTGCCGACGAATCCATACTGGTGGGGTGGAACCAGTCCGAGACGGACTGATATTTGCCGAAGAAGGTCTGCAATGAGCCGCTCAAAGACCTTGCCGATAGTGGAGAGCAGCGCCACGGGGCGCCAGCTCTTTGGTGTGGCATAGTCAGACTTGCCCTCTTTTGCAAGCACGACTGTGATGGAAGCCTTGAAGCAGTCGGGGTAATGACCCAACCGCACGCAGGCATTGAAGAGGTGCGTGAGGTAGGGCAACAGGGAGGTGCTCGCGTACTTGAGAGCATCGCTCGTGACTTCGTCAGGGCCTGGACTCTTGCCGGTCTTGAGGCGTTTGATGACATTGGCGACATGATTCTCCATAATGAGTGGAGGCTTGTCATGTCCCATTATCTTGATAAGCCTCTCAATGTCCTTGCGTTTGGCCTCGGCCTTCTTTTGGGCGGCGTGCCTAGCCCTGACTTCAGCTCTGGCTTTTCTCTGACCTTCAGTCTTGGCTCTCTCCCTGGACAAGGCAGCAGCCCAATGGGCTGGGTCGACCCCAGGCGGAGGTGCAAAAGAGGTTGAGTCTGATGCAGGGCAAGAAGTACCTTGCGACTCTGCTGGTGTGGCGGGAACGCTTTCGGAAACGCTTTCGGGAAGGGATGGTGTGGTGGGCGTGTTGCAGCATACAGGCGTCGAATCAGGGCCCCCAGCAGGACTTGCTGGAGCGGCCGGAATCTGGCACCCAGTGTGCAGCAGATTCGACGTCCCACCCTGCGGGACCTCGTCAGGGGGACAATCGCGCGTTTTCTCCCATATCGAATCCCGGAAAACCTTGGCATTCTCCTCTGAGCTACCGCAAATGGTGGTCTGATTGTTTACGGTAGATTTGAACATGGGCATATGCGGTGGTCGCTGGATCTTGCTACGACGTTGCGCCCACCTCACCAGCGACCATAGCCCTGGGTCCTGGAAAGACTGAATGGCAGCTCTGCACCGCCAATGCTTCCTGCCTTCGAGTCTCATCAGACGATTGCTTTTGCTGTGGAGGGCTTCAAGAACTTGTAGCTGTTTCTGGTATGGTCGCTTTCCAAATGTCATCCGGCGCAATTTGCTCATGGCAATTCTCTCTTGTGCAAGATGGTCTCGTATAGCGGGTGTAAGCGGTAGTTGTTTCCGAGGCGTGTTTGGGTTCCGCACTTGACTCTCGACGCAAGTTTCGGTTGCAAGCTGAACAGCGTTGATAATATCCGAGGCGAAAAGATTGATGCGCGATGGGGAAGACAGGTCCGGCAAGGATTTGTCAGAGTCTCGCAGAAGACGCAGTGTAGCGCCCACCTTCTTCCTGAATTTCGCTTTGTCCACACTGTTCATGCGATCAAATTTCCACTTCCTACTACCGTCCTGACTAACTCGAGCGTCCAGAGTGGTGTAGATGACACAATGGTCCTCGTGGAACCCACGAGCATCCTCAACTCGGACCTTTGGATTTCGACGACGGAGTTCCTTTCCAGCCCAGACCAAGTCAATGGTTGATTGTTTAGAACCACTCCGATATGTAGGGATCTTGCAGACGAGGCAACGCATCCCTGCTTTCTTTGCCGCTGAGTTGAGAGTTCTGCCATGTGTATTCCCTTTTGGCCTTTTCCCCTTGGGGTCAGGAAGAGACCAGTCCTTATGATGGGCGTTGAAGTCGCCAAGGATGAAACAATTGTCGAGGTTCCGACATGCGGCAAAAAAGTTCTTCATGATGAAGGACTTGCCCGGCCTGCGGTTGTAGACGTTGTAGATCTTGATTTCGCTGTCGTTATCAAGACGGAGCACCAACATGGCGATGTATCCCTCGCCGTGCGGCACATCCCACTCAACCCTCCAAGAGTTCAAGTTGATCGATTTGTGGACGTAAAATGCCACGCGCCGGACGCCTTGTTTCTGCTTCCCCTTTTTGTCGAGGGATGGCTTGTCTTCGTGGTCGATGATGCCCCAGTCGCTTCGATATTCGTAATGGTAATCTGATAGCTGGAACACCTCGACTGGAGGGTCTTGTATGGCAAGGATGGCGGGGACTCGATCCAAAGTGGATCCGTGATCCGCCAGAAAACGGACACGCTGAGATTCTCTGCGTACGTTGGCCTGCAGTATGTCGAGGTGTTCCAGGGTGTAGTGATGGGCTTCCGTGCTGGTGGAAAGAGAGCCAAACGTGTGGCGAAGCCCCGGTATGGTGGCAACCGCGGCGGCCTGGGGGTTTGGTCAGACTTGTTGCAAGCAAGGTACGTCGTTCGACTTACCGGACTGGAAGGTATCTGGACATGTTGCCCTTCCGCGGAGGGACTCGATGCTGAGGGTGGAGTGGGTATTTGTGGCTGGCTGTGCTCGAGGCAAGGAGACTTGCACTACATTTGCAAGGATGGTCAGCCTGTCATGTGACTTTTTGGAGCCAGAAACCTGAAGAGAGAGACTCACAGCATCTGTATTCGTCGTCAAGGTCCGAAGACGACGGGCCGTGCGGCCTTGTGAGCGAATGGCAACCATGCTCTCGCCGCGATCTCGTGCGACAAAACTGTCGTCTACACATACGGGCTGATGACTGCGTTAGTCTGACCAATGCACACAATGAGGGTCTTCACGTGCACAAATACCAAGTTCGTAACACGGGAATATTCATTTGCGGAAGAAGAGCAGCCTCATGTTGGCGACTGTCTGGCCGATGCTTCGAATGCAACGAAGAAAGATTTGACGGACGGCGTGGCGCCTTTCGACCACCAGAGATTTCTCAGACAGCTGTGGTAGGACGAAAAGATGAAGGAAGACAAAATGTAATCTTGAGATGAACGGAAAGAGGCGATGGTTGTGTCATCGAAGGCTCGAGACAGGAGCATGGCCGACATATATGGCTGACTCCTGTTCGAGCTGATTGTGACAACGGGGTCCATTGGAAGACGTTCAGTCCGAATAGGAAGATGGAGGAATTCAAATCAGAGGCAGAATTACCGAGTTTGTTCCTCTATCCGAGGAGTTTCAAGTAGATACGTACCTAATCAAGGGGACGGAAGCTTCGGTTTGCTCGCTTTTCCCGGTATCCGTAGCTAAGGTAGGCACGGTACCTACACAGTATGTATGTGGCAATCACTGTTGATGGTGGCAACTGCTCATGTTCAAACTTTTGCAGCTACGCCGTAATTACCCCAAGAAAAGCAAGCACTGCCGCTTGCCATATCTCTCGTCGCTTTGGCAATTTCGCGTGACGCGACCATGTCCCTGCCGGCCCATGCAGGTGACAGGCCGGTAGAGTGCGAACCTGATAAGGTGGGTTCTCAAGATCTCCAAAGTTAGGTCGAGAGTACCTTAGGTCTAAACCCCAAACCTACCTAATGTGAGGTAGAGTCCTAGACCCATGAGAGACCCACTGCCACCCAACTGCCACCGAACCCCCATGTAAGGTACCGATCTTATCAGTACCTCACTGATAGGAAACGGGCAGTTTGTCCACTTCCATCAGGAGTAAGGTATCTTACCGTGGAAAAGACACGGTGCTAAGATAGTACGTACCTTCCATTGTTCATCGTGGTGCCGTGTCCGAATCAGTGACCATTTGCCCACACTACTCTCGCCACCTGCGTTCCTTTTTTTTGATTGGCTGTTTATTCATTTTCTTATGGCATTTTATTTTTTTTTCTTTTTTGGAGCCCAAGGTATTCTGGTGGTCGTGCACTTCTGATGAGTTGGCTGATTCGTTTCACCAGATCTTACCTTCAAGTCGAATAAAAGAGGTTCCCACCTACGGTAGCAGGTACTCTGGCATCGAAAACATCAATTCACCTCACCACACGGACAACACATACTTCAGCTACTCATACTTCCAATCAGTCTCTCATTCTACTCTCACTGCTTTATCTGCCACCATGAACTATCCCCCGTACGGACACAATCCCAATTCCTATGGATACAATGGGGACGTGTTCGCCAACCCTCCCGGTCAGAATGGCCCTCAACATAGCGGAATGCTGGGCCAGCGTCAACATGTCTCTCATCCGCAACCTCTTCATTCCCACAATCAACTTCATAGGGGCTCTCCTGGTCAGCTGTCTAGCCGTGGCGCTACCTTCGGAATCGAGCCTTCTATGAATATTGTGCCCGACATTCTGCGGGTTCCGTCCATGCAGCAAAAGTGCACCAACAACTACCCTCAATCGCCCAATCACTTCCCTACTGGCTTCATTGCATCCAGCAGCACAACCTTGGCCCCCTACTCTCGCGGCCCTCCCCATAAGCAGGATCTTGCCGATCAGAACGCTACCATGCACTGGAATGATGCCAGCCCCGCGACTGGCACTTCCTATGGCGGTCCTATTAGCCCAGCTCCTCCCCATGTCTCCAGGGCCTCTTACCAGAGCCCTACTCCTCTCATTCAAGAGCCTCCAACTCCACACAATACAGCAGAAGATGCAACCATGGGGCTAGCGTCCGATGCCACAACCACCTTTACCCCCACGACAGTCATGCCATTGGAGGCCCAGCCGGGCCATTCCAGTAGCCACACCAGCTCATCCAACAGGACCGCGCGTGTTGTATCTCCGGTTCAACAGGCGGCTGCCAATGCGCCGTCGGTCGGAAGCAGTTCCGCGACCAAAGCTACTATCAGTGATGGTCGGGCACCGGCTCCTGGCTACACCCCTGACCGGGCTCAGGTTCCGGATCAGAATCAGGCTCAAGACCAGGCTCAGGCTCAAGGCGAGAGCCAGACTCGGAATCGGAGTGCGAAGAACAGCAAGTCAAACCGCAATACCGGCGCTAGGGCTGTCAGAAGACCCCAGTCCGACGTGGACCGATTGACACGTCTGATCGAATATCAGTTTGAACAAGGCTTCAAACGTCTGGGGCTACGTGCTGAGCCACGTGAAAGCGAGAGGAAGGACAACAGCCCAGCAAGAACACAACGAACCGCCAAATCTGTCAAGGTCAAGATCGAGCCACCCAATGCCCTTGCTGCCTTTGACCAACACCGGAGCGCCATCCTCGGCCAACTATCCACGCATGACTCGGTGTACTCACGAGTCGATAAAATCGAGCGGGGAAAAGAAAAGGAAGTCATGTGGATTACCTTCAAGAACCTCTCGGATGCTCAGGCCTTTAAGCCAAACGCTGCACATCTAACAGCCGCGACGAATGTGACTGTCACCAATTTCGTCCTCTACCCCGAGTTCTATTGGGTTAGGGCCACATTGCACGGCAAGAAGATTACACGTGAGATGATCCAGGAAGATTCGGGTTTGCGTTGGTTCGAGGATTTTGGTATCTACCATACGATGTTCAAACCAGCGGTCAACGGAAACGCGGTCTGGCTTCGTTTCACTGATTCGACCATGGCGTGGAAACTAATCGAAACTGCCGAACAACAAGGAGACGACCTTCGCATCGACTTCTGCTCAGCCAAGATCGAGTAGGTCACCTCTTCAACTTCCCTGCTGAAATTTAGCTAATACGTACCCCAGGGCTGTTGATGTACGCTTGAAACCCTTTTACTGTTACAAGTGTTACGAGCCGGGTCACATGGAGAATCAGTGCAACCAACTGCACTCTACTTGTGGGAAATGCGCTGGTCAGCACAAGACATCCGAGTGCGCCCCAGGGACCAAGTTCCGATGTCCCAATTGCGGAGATGAACACCCTGCCTGGTCCCCGCAATGTCAAGATTCTGAGCGAATGAAGATGCTGGCACGTTGTGCTACCTTTGGCATAGATGAGCCGTTCTGGGCACGGGATATGCGCCAGGCACAAAGGCTATCTGAGATGGACACGTCACAGCACTATTCGCCATCAGAATTTTCAGATTCCATGACACCCAGGACTCCTTCCGATCACCACACTGGAGACGACCATGAAGCTCACGCCAGACATCCGCACCCCACGCTCAGCCGTCGTGAGATGCGGATGCCAGAGTCACCCACACGCAATGGCAGGACACAACGCGGTGAAGGCAGTTTGCAGACGCCTACCTCCATCGCCCAGAATCCTGCCGAAAGGCCTCCTGAGTTCGGAGGTTCGTCCAGCAACCAGGGCCAAGGTTCGCTCCCAAAGGCCAGTCAGTACGTGGCCCCGGCCCCGAAACCGACACTAACATCATCAAGAGCGACGCATGCTCGAACCGTCGCAACTCCATCCGTACCTCCCAGGAAAGGAAGGAACGCCTTGGTGTCGTCAGCCACCGCGTCGAGTCCGGTTGAGGCAAGCAACAGTGGTGGCCCTCGTCCCAAGGCCCACCCGAACGGGAGGTCTGCTCGGGGTGCTTCCAGCTCGACCTCCAAGACCACAGAAGCAGACGCGGCTGCCGGAACGCAAGACAATTCGTCGCGCAACCAGAAAGCGCCAAAGAGGGCCATCAGCCCCAGCGTCAAGACCCCTCAGCGAGCGAAGCCGCGCCAATGCCGACGGGATATAGGAAAGCACGTCGCCTCGCCAACTCTCCGGCGGACCCAGTCTGATGCTAACAAGTCCGACGGGTGGTCCTCGTCTGGCATGAGCGAGATTGCCGCAGGCAAGCGTCCGGCTGAGCCTTACACACTGCCTGTATCGCCCAACAAGTCAACGGACCAGAGTGTAGCTTCCGAATCGTCAGGCAGTGGCACAGCGACAGCGTCCGAGACAGGGACGGCGTCGTCCTCTGAGGCAAGCTCTTCAGTGAGACCTGTCAACCCTCCAGTTGCCGATCGTCCGGTCGCTCCACCCCCCCAGCAGAACAAAGGTCGCGGTGCCCAGGCCCCCGCGGACAAGAGTCAGGTTACATCGGCGCCATCGCAAGAAAGGGAGGTATGTGTGTATCAAATTTCGTCTTCCAGACCGAATCGTAACCATTACAACGTAGACCCTTTGAGCCGGCTTGAACTTGAGAAAGGGCGCCGACCTCGTGCCAGCAAGATGCTATTTCATGGTTCACTCCGGAAGTTCCACGGCCAGCCTATCCGGAAGAGGAAGTAGCATCTGGATGTATTTCCTTTCCAAGCACCAGGACATTGGGAGTATGAGATTGATCTGGGGTGGGTTTGCTCTTTTTCTTTTTCTTCCTTGTTTGAGGGGGGGGGGGGAGGGGGGGAGGAGAGGCTGCGTGTAGGGATTAGTTTGCGACTGAATGGAAGGTCCATGAAAGCGATGTAGACAGAACAGTGTGCGGGCCGTTGTACTTTTTCTCAGGTAGTCACAGAGTAAACGTAATTTCCTTGCCAGAGCCAAGAACCACTATGTGGCCGGCCGCTGTGATAGGTGCGCCAGCTTTCTACCCAATAGGCTGGAATCTTGTACTTTTGACTCACAAAGAACTTACCTTCTGCGATGACAAGGTACAGTGGACACGGGGTTGAAAGCCCCTGATTTCGCCTGCCGGGCCTGCTGGGCCTGCCTCAGGCCGAAGATATGTGCAAACATGTTGGACCAATGGCAGTCGCGGGCGAGGGGAGGCCCCCTGCCGAAGGAGATGCACAAGGCTCAAGCAGCAGGAGTTGCTGCCAGACGAGTTGAGAGGCTTATGTCAGCAATGT